ATAGTATAGTATAGTATAGTATAGTATAGTATAGTATAGTATAGTATAGTATAGTATAGTATAGTATAGTAGTATACTATACACTATAGTATAGTATAATTGAGATCAAACCACAATCATTCATGGTCCCAAATCATTGCAAGAGAGGCTTATGCAACATCTGGGTCCAATGCATGGGGAAAGAAAGAACCAATTTTCAAGGTCTTTGGAAGACCAATCAAATTGGGATTATCTGGATTTGGGGGGTATGTTGTTTCAAATATCATAATAGAGTAGGCTTGCCCCTTGTCCCACCAACTGGTACTTTCGTAGAAGGGATCCAAAACATGCCTACCTTATTGGATCTCATATAATCAGGAAAAAAAAATCAGAAATAGATTGTTTTGCAAATAAACCAGCCCTATGCCATGAAGAGCTGTGTAGATGGCTGTCAGAACCATGCATAAAAAAAAGGTCTTTTTGAAAAATCCTTTCAAATATTTGAAAATTGTTGCCATAGCCAATCACGGTATTTTTAGGACAGTAAGCTCTACCAGGGGATAAAAAGAAACATGGCAGAAAAAAGAAAAAAAGCCACTTTTAGATTGCTGTCAATAATTATGTCTGTGTAGTCACTGAGTTGTGTTCTCCTCAAAACTATGCAAGAGAAATGTTCCCTGCCTGAGAAATATATTTGTATGAAATTTGATATTCAAAACAGTATTTTTAAAATAACCACTCATATTATAGCAATAAATGGAAAACCAAAGCTCCGACACTTTTGATAGGCAAACTTCACTACTGAACATCTCTCTCAGAAGGGTACTCTGTTTACTTGAGTCCCCATAGCAACCCTAGCTCACAGATGGGAATGTGTTTCTTAGCAACCATCCTTGGTAATTACACATAGTTCCACTTCTTTGTCTCCCTAGACTTGGCAAGGACCTGCTTGATTCATGAGAACTCCACTGGCACCTCAGTTGAGACCATGGCAGCAGAGGTGAGATACATGTTTGTGAGGAGGGCTTAACTTTGTGCATCTTAGAGAAAAAAGTAACCCCTCCCAGCCAGGCAATTACACACAAAGGTGCTGATGTCCTATGACCTACACAAAGCCTCTTGGTTTTTAGGCCCAGGTCAGAACAGTAAGCCTTGCTGTGTTCTTGCTGCCACTCCAGGCCACATGTGGCAGGCATGTGGGGCTCTCCTTGGCCACCTCTGGCAACTGATTTGGAGCCACATATGGTTGGCAACTCTGGGACATGCCTGGCATGTATATAGCTCATTTATAATCATCATTGTGCTTTTCCCAGCCAGAGGTTTTGTAAACCTGGCCAGGCATCTGTATGAGCCAAAAAAGACCAGTGGCTTGTTTCAGGGTCAGAAGGGGCTTGAGGAAATTAGTCCCTTACTTGAGTACCAGCAGACACCAGAGATGGCTAGCCCCTTCCTCCACTATGGAAATGACCCTGAGGAGATTAGCCCTGTGCTCCGATACCTACAGCATCCTGAAGAATTTACTGTCTTGTACCAACAACCACCAAAGTCTGAGGCAGAGATTGATACTGCAATCCAGCAGTCAGAGGAAATCAGTCCTGTGCTGCAGTATCTACAACAGCTGGAGGAAATTGGCAGCAACCTGCTTCAACAGGACAGCTGCCACATATCTTCCTGCCCAAGAATTGTCAAGAAAGTGGAGACTGTGACTCAGGTGAAATACATGGGGACTGGCCAAGTCTATCTTTGCAATTTTTTTCAGGATCTTCAGGGGGAAAGCAAAGAAAATATTGTACCTATAGTGCTGATTTGGAGACAAGGAAGTAAGGGGAGGTAATAAAGATCTATATTCAGCAAAGGTCCATGAGTTAAATCCTAAAAGGCCTTAGTTTTATCTTTCCAATACAACTAAGCAAATGGAACTGAAATTAACCAATTTCAGCACTGAAATAATAAAGGATAGTTTTGTTGGTCCTGAAAATCCTTCTCAACACTGTTATGATGCAGTTCTTAAGCTCATGTTTATTATGTTACATTTGTTCAGTAAATGTCTAAAGTAAATATACAGCATGTACACACACACACATTAATATGTATATTAAGTACAAAGGTAATATTCCTGTCTGTATTATAAAATGGTCAGGATGTGGAGATGCAAAGCTAATTTGCTGATCTTACTGTCATAATTATGAAGGTAATATTACAAGGCTGGGAATTGTGGTAAGTCATTTCCCATGTAGCTTACTAAAGTGTTTTTCTTTTTTTAATTTTTGAATGTATATGCCACTTCAATCACCAATATAATTATAGAAATCATACACATTAGAGTTGGAATTGTTGTATCATTTGAACTTATTAAATGTTGCCAGTCTGATCTTCTTAACTTTATAATTTCTCACTCATATCCCTCTGTAAATGGAACTCTAAATATTTGGAAGATCTATTCTTTGTAATGTGGTTAAGGTTTTTTTAATCTATTCTGTTTTCCCACCATTCTGTTTCTATTCCTCAATTAAAATCCTTCCTTTCAGAGTAAATTTTTATCAAGCAGTTATCCTACTTTATTCTTAGATGCTCCAGATGAAAATATCCTCTATTCTCTTTTCATATTTTGTTTTAAACCTAAATTCCTTTTGTATCATGCTTAGATTATTTTTGCTATTTAATGTAAATAGGAACTTGATTAATTTTATACAGTGCTCAGAACATAAAATACAATTTTATGTAATATACAACTCAGAACATAAAATACAATTTTATGTAATATACAACTCTGTCCTTTTTGGGACTGACAAAATGATTTGGGTGGGTTGGGTATAACTTTGTAGAAATAAAAAGTTAATTCTTACTCAATTTTCAAAACTCTTGTAAGCAAGCTCATGTTCTATACACATATCATTTTGAAAAAGAGGTTTATGGAAAAGCTTTTTAGTCAATAGCCAAACAACTTCAGATTTCTCTCACACCTATTATGTTATGTGCTTGCAGATACTTTGCAAGACATTTACGACTTCTTCATTCATTATTCCTCTGACTTCCTAATAATGCTCCTAGTCTTTTTCAGGATAATTGGCTTATTTGTACATCCAAATCCCAACCAACAGAACTACAGTAGTTAGTATAGACCACAATCTTGCTTGAATATTTATGAATGCATGAAGAAATGTTGCTGTCACTAGTCCCTAATAATAATTTGTAGCTCTTACAGGACATTTCTGTAATTATTTAATCCCATTAATCTTTCTTATTCATTGTCTTCTCCTTCCTGTTCCATCAAATCTCTTAAAGGTGATTGTTTTTTTTCTATATTTTTCTATTATTTGCTTATAGGATGATTTCTGCTTACTGATTATGACATCAGAGAGAACAATGTTTATTTGGTCCAGGATTGATTAGTTAGTTTTCTGTTACTGCTGGTCTACAAATCCAAAATTGGAAGACATCTGTTTTCTTTAATTACTGGAGAAGGAACAAATAAATACCACAGGCTTGATGTATTTAGGAAGAACTGATTAGGCTGAAGAATAAGGGTGGTTACTTCTGAAACCATAATCAATGGTTATAGGAGAGAAAAGGTCAACCATTGGCCTCTTACCTGTGAAATATGCAAGATTTGATCCTCTTTCCCTCATTTTTTTCCCCACATTTACAGTTCAAGATGTATTAGTATCAGTATACCAATTATACCCATACCCAGTATATACGTCATCACTCTGAGAAGCTGTGGTGATAAGGTTGAAGTTCTATTCCAGTGTGTAATGGGGAAGAAACAAGCTAAAGCTGAACAACACAAGCAAGCTGAAATTACTGTTGGTACCAAGTGCAGTGGTCTTTTTGCCAATTGGTGTTAAATGCTGCAAACATGTGTTTCAGCTTCAGCTCTGGTTTCCAGTACACTTCTGGCTGCAGTTTGTGTACTCTATTGTAATGCACTCTGCATGGGGTTACCTTTAAAGACTATGCAGCTGCTAATAAAGGGCAGCCATTTTAATAGTAAAATACTATTATTTATTAGTAAAATACTATTATGGTATAGGTTAGAAATATGTTTCTGAGTCAAATGCCAAGACCTGGTGTTAACCTACAAAGCTTTAAATGGTTCAGTTCACATTTATGTTTCCTGAATAGAATCTGCCCGAGCCACGTAATCATGTAGAAGTCAGGGGCATGCTTCACGTCCCCACTTCATAAGAGACCAAGAGGATAAGGGTTCAGAGGGCCTCCTCAGAGATGCTTACCAATATTACCTGTACTTACTTTCAGGTTGCTTTTGGCTTCTTGCCTGCTGCCTTTTAGTCATATAATGGTCTTGTCCTGGGGATTCAGGTAGTAATGGTGGTAGTGGGCTACATTTTTGACACGGTTGGATTGTTACAACCCTGGCTTTACAATTTTAAATTAATGGAGTGGTAAGATTTTACTTGGGAATTGAGGTATGTTTCAATTCTGATGTTTCTTTGCCTTTTGTGTTACTAGTTATTACTGTGCTAGAATTTTTATGAGTGGGAGATATATATTTATTATACTTCTTTTAACATTTGGCCCTTCTTACCCTCCCCTGAAAAATAATAATTTGAAAATATTGGCAATGGTCATGCAGCAGCATAATTGGAGCCGTTTCCTCCTTTGTCCCCAGACTCTTGACATAATGGTTTGGAAAAAGGAAGCAACTTCAGAAAGCTTGTCAGACTTAATTTTATGATGTTTTCTTCAGTTCAGTATTAATAAGCATAACGGTCAAGACCTGCCCTCCTACCCTCTGTTTAATTGGTTACCTGGGACATTAAAGGAGATTAAATGCTAACATGTGTTTTTTTTATTTCATCCAAAATACAATGCATTCAATATTTAGTACATGGTACTACTTTTAAAAATATAATAAAATACTGCATAATTAAATGCAATTATAAAACACAATAGTTGCATCCAATAAAAGCTGATGTTCAAATGTCTATAGAAATATCAGATATTAAGAGTAAATTGCAGATTTAATTAATTATAAATATTAAACAATGATTTTGCTATTTGGGCTTACAAATCCTCAGATTCTTATTTGTGCTGGAATTTAGAAGTATTTCACCTGTAAATAATCCATACTTTATTTCTTTGGGGGGTTATAACAGGTGCCCATGGACACAGCCTTCCCAATGCCTGCCACCACATATCATGTAAACAAAATGACCGATCCTCCACTAGGTAGGAAATATATAATTGATGGGAAGTTTCTATTTTCTCTACTGTTTAATGAAAACTAAAATAGATTCCTAGTTTTTATGCGGTATTTGCTAATGTCTGATCAATCTTCGCTTGAAACTAAGGAAAAGCAAAATATGTGATCATTATCCCAACCACTACTTCCAGACATACTGGATTGTAATTTTCAGAATTTCTTCCCTAGCCAAGCAGGAATTCTGAAAGTTATATTCCCATAAGCCTGGAAGATGGCTGAATTAAGTGTTTGTACCTTATGATTCTTGATGAATGTATCTTTTCTTTTTATGTACACTGAGAGCATATGCACCAAGACTAGTTCCTTGTGTGTCTAATCACACTTGGCCAATAAAGAATTCATTCATTCAATTCAAATTATTAGTTCAAACCTGGCAATCCATACTTTCACTAATACTAGATGATGATGTGTAGAGAAACTCAAGACCCCTTAAAGACTTGAGTCCAATTTAAACTGTGACATTTTTATACAATTTAGGCTTGATCTTGCACTTTATAACTTGACATTGCAATACAACCTGAGTGTGTTTGCTGTGCACTGCTATATACTGATAATGCCATCCATGTGAAGGTATCAATCACCATGTTGCAAACTTGAAGTTTTTTCTAGAAGGTACCTTCAATGCCCAGTCTGATAAATCTTTTTTTCACTAAAAAAACAGGGAAAATGGCTATGGGAGCTAGGGTCTGGTCAACTTCACTGCCAAACAAATCAATAGGGTGCAAAAGAAATAGTCCCACAAGAAACTACAAGAAGCAATTGAAGCAATTCTAAAATGAAATTTGGAACATTACACTTTAGATGAATTCAAGTGCTAATGTGAAAGGGGGAGAAACACTATTGACTTTTTCAACATCGTGCATGATTTTACTATTCCTCCATAATTTGTCGTCCACTTTTTTTCAAGCTACGAAGACTAAATGCTTTACTTTTTCTTCACATAATCATTTCACGCCATTATTTCAGCCGATTGTTCAGTTTTGTTTTAGATTTGTGTGTTTTGTGTACCTTTCAAAGTTCTATAATAAATTTAACAATAAATGTTAATATTATTCAAGTCTGGTTTTACCATAAATTTATGTAATAACAATATACCACATTGGTGGTTTTACTATCTGTTGTTATCCAAGCAATTCCAGTAAAGAGCTCCTATGAAAGAAAAAAATACATTTTTATTTTGCATTGTTTTGTAGAACCTTTTGCATAATTCATAACAAATGGATTATGCAATCCCCCAAAATACATTCCTGGAAGATCCTTGACAATTGAACATCATACACAAAGATGGGATTATTGAAATGATTTTCTTGTTTATTACTCTATATGTCACTTAGCAGATGTGCTATTGAATGCCTTTTTGGAAGAAAAAGAAGGCAATAAAGTTTCTCCAGCCTGGTATACTTTTCCTTTGCTATAGATTGCAAATTTAATACTCTTCAGTTATTATAACAATAGATGTAATCACTTAGAAAGGAGTCAGATTGGGGAAGGTTAGAATATAAAGTGATTTGAGAGAGAATATTGATTGGAGGATAGAAGTAAATATCAGAGAAGAGGTCAAGACTAGCAGGCTGGTAGCATCATCTGGAGTTAGAGGACTTGTAATATATAAATACCTCCAATATTTTATTCTTTGTCTTCCAGAAAAGCCTGGCTATAAAAACAAGGAGCAGGTCACATATAACAAGGCTGGGGTGCCATCCAACAAAGCACTTTCCTCAAGGACCTCCAGTGCAAACTCTTGGGACAGCTCCAAGAATCTGGAAGGGGATAAACCAAGAGGTGAATTCATCTGCCAAACACCTCCTTCCACACATCACTTTCCAGCAAAAACCAACAATAGACAGAACCACAATTCCAAAACTCCTTCTTTCCAATATATTCACCATGAATCACCTAAAATATGTGTTGGAAGAAAGGATAGCTTTGAAAGCAAAATTTCTCTTGGAAATCACCAGAAGGAAAGGGCTACAAGTTCCCAAGAACATGCCAAGTTTGTCCAAGAAAAAGCAGAACCCATCAGCTTTAATCCAGATGAATCAACAGGCAAGTTACATCATTCTGTACGAACTGAGTTGTTCAGCTCTCCCACAAAAAATATGAAGAGCAGCTATGAAGACACTGAAGAAGCCAAGACTGTTTTGAATACCAAAGACTCCTTGGCTTCAGGTATACAAAACGTTAAAGTAGAAGGGAAGCCCCCTCATGAAAAGAGAAGCAGTCTGGTGCCTGCCAATATCAAAGCCAAATATGGCACCACAGTAGTGGAGAAGCTGATATCAGAGGAACAGGTAAACGAAATAATTTCAATTGGGGGCATGAACATTAATAGCGCTCATAGCTGGTGCCCTTAGATGTTTTGAATTTCAACTCATATAAATTTCGGGGGGAGAAAGCCTCTAAGAGACCAAGTCTTGGGTCGTCTTAAGAATAATAACTCTACTATCACACAAGTTTTCATGGCCCATTGTTGCCATGAATGCACAGAATACAGATAATCCTTGAATGCCAACCACAACTGAGTCCAGAATTTATGTTGCTAAATGAGAAATTTGTTAAGTGAGTTTTGCCCCATTTTACGACTCTTCTTGCCACATTTGTTAAGGGAATCACTGCAGTTGTTAAGTTAGTAATACAGTTGTTAAGTGGATTTGGCTTCCCCATTGACTTTGCTTGTCAAAAGATGATCACATGACCCTGGAATATTGAAACTGTCATAAACAGGAGCCAGTTGTCAAGAATCTGAATGTAGATCATCTGATCACAGGGATGGGACAACAGTTATAATTGTGAAATACAGTCATCCGAAGTCATTTTTCTCAGTGCTGTTGTAACTTCGAACAGTTTACTGTTGTAAGTCGAGGGCTACCTGCATAGTGCAGATAATGGAGTATCTATTGGCAAGGGTGAGAAATGAAGAGCAAATGGTGAAAGGAGAGGTAAAAGTCAGAATTCGCTATTATCAGTTATATGCAGATATAAAGAAAGCAAGTCAAGAAAATTAAACATGGTACAGACACTCTTGCAACCGAACATAGCATAGATGTAAAATGTGTTAATCTGACAGACAACTGTGAAACATCCCATTTCCTTTTGGATCTGGACTGTGCTATGTGAGAATGGCTTCTGGTCTTATGGTTTCTAAAAATAAATTCTCTGAACTGGAAAAGATTTGGAGCCTGATTCAGCCCCTTCCACTGCCATGCAGCTTGTTTCATCTAGAAAGCAGTTCAAGCTTTCCAAATAGTTTCAAATTTGGAGGATTTACTTTTGGAAATTCCCAAACTGGACCATAGAACTGCATGGTGCAGAAAAGTCTTGATATGCTCCCAAGGCTTTACAAGTTCAATAATCACTCATCAGAAATTAGCATAGGGTATTTGTTATGTTAGATGAGAAAGTATTTCCAGAAAAAGCAATATTGGATAGGCAACTATTCCTGTGTTTTACACATTACATTTCCTTGCAAGGCTAATTTTGAGATTCATGTGTGTTGCATTCTATTTATAATAATATCTTTGTATAGTTTGTAAATTAGATAAAACATGTGCTTTTTGTTAATCTACAGCTTATAAATTCATTTTTAGAACTGCATTATCCAGCTAGGGCAGCCTTCCAGGTGCTGTCCAAGTATGTTACCCATAGTCATGCCCCTTTTCAGAGTCTGAATTGGAGGAGGAAGCCAGATAGCTGACAGGGAGTGGGAGTGTGGCTCTGTTGGCTGTGGAGGAGGCTGGGGAAGGGCAAAGTCCAGCTGGGCAGAGCAGGGAAGAGATAGAACAAGGGAAAGGGAGGAAGATCCAGGCCCAGAGGAAGAAAGCAATGTGGGTTGCATGGCTTATGAGGGAGAGGGCCCTGATTCTCTTCATTAACCACAACTGGGAAGAGAGTTGATAAGAAAGGCAGGCTAGATGCGGCAGGCTGCTGGGAGTAAAGTGACTTTATCCTGTATTGTCGTGGCTCATCTGTGTTCCTGGCGTCTTCCCAACTGTGTGAGTTTTGCCGTGCCTTCAAGCCTGAGATTCTTGCTTCTTCCCTGCCAAACTAATTACTTCAGTTTAGTTTGTTTGGACTTTAAGTTACAGTTTGTGTTGACCATGTTTTGGACTTAATTTTCTGCAGTCAAAGGCTGTTCCTGGGAGAGTTTTTCTCCAGCCAGAAGGTAACTTGGACATTGGGGGCAAAGTTGGAGATAATAAAGGGACTCTTATTGCTTGTCTGACTGTGTTGCCTTTGTGCCACACCCCGGGTCATCACACCCATACTGTACATCCCTTCCAATTGGCATAGGTAATGGTATCAAGCTGAGAAAAATGGTGCTAGGCTTTTTTTATTTTCACCTGGAAAATTATGGTTACTTCCATGATGCTTATCTGAAGAGCACCTCTTGAATTTATACCTCTGTCTTTTGAGGTGACAGATATTATATTGTAAGGAATTTATGTAACTCTCGTGTAATGCTAAATATTAGCTGAATAATTAACCAGGGAATTGGAAAGCAGGACCTTATTTACATCATGAGCAATATAATTTAAAAAATGTATATTTGTATAAGAAATGTTTTAAAAATGTTCAGTTATATAACTGAAAAGATCACAAGGCCAATGTCACATATATTTACAGTATTGATTTATATTTATTAAAGCTATGTCACCAAATTTTACAATTCACAGTCCTTTACAACAATAAAAGCACAAAAATACATAATGAAATAGAAAGAATACATAAATACACCCAACTAGGCAAAATGGTTCAATAAAAACATACCCATTTCTGATCACAGCAATCATATTATCCAATCCATATGAAGTGGTGTTTCCAGAGTAGTTCAAATTTTTCAAATTGAGCTTTAAGAGTTCAGCTTTAATAGTTTTATGGAACAATGTTCTAATTATGCAGCAGTCTAGTTTCCATGGGGTGACCATTCTATAGCAAAAGGGCCATGACAGAGAAGTACCAGCCCTAAGCATCCAGCAATATAAATTTTCACACTGAAGATAAGATCTCCAGCTGGCTCTGGAGAAGATGGTCCTATTAGAGCCAAGTCATGTAGTGCTTTAAAATAAAAAGCGATACTGTGCCTTGAACTCTGAAATCTATTGATTGTTTTTAAAAAGAGATCACAATATAGTATAAAAGGACTGAAACATTTCTCAGCCACCCAACACGCAGGCATTTTGCACTAATAAGCAGTCTTCCAAGTATTTCGCTTATATCAAGTAAAGTGGCTAATGTATAGTTCTGATTTATAAAAGTTGAATTTTATACATCTTGATTTTGAAAGGAAAAACTCCATTAAAATTGGCTGCAGTCCAGTTAGGGTTTGTTTGTTTTTCTTTTCTTTTTCTTTTTGACATAAATCCAAGAAAAGCCTACTTTTGGCCACATTTGATCAGTTTAACCATCCGGGGAGTAGAAATTATCACTAGTTCTCTAAGTATACTAAAACATATTTGATAATGGCAAGCAACTGTGGAGTTTAAATTTTATCATATCACATACCCACCCACATGTACATATATATATATATATATTTTCCAGGCACGGCGTGCTCTTTGTGAAGCTGGATTGATCCAAGGACAAAAAAGACTCAGTGACTGGCCATTCAAATCTCTTGAGAATCCTATGACAACCTCACCTTATGCTGATTATTATGAACTGGGTTATAATCTGAGAGCCAACATTTTCCAAGGTGAGCTAGACAAATATCCATGCTTCCCTTTTTGGTCATACAGGTAGAGTCCTTGACTTATGAACACAACTGAGACCAGAATTTCCATTGTAAGTCATTTCGGTCATAAGTTGAGTCAGAACCAATTTTAGGACAATTTTTATGGTAGCTGTAAAGAAAACCACATGGTTATTTGCAGATGGTTGCAAAGCAAATCCAACTTTCCCAATGGTGTCTTTGCTGGAAATTGGCAAAAAGGTTGCAGTTCATGATTATGTGACTGCAGGACACATTGCAACCAGTTGTAAATGCAAGTTGGTTGCCCAGCACCCAAATTGCAATCACCTGACTATGGGGGTGGTGCAACAGTCATAACTGTGAGTACAGTTCATAAGGCACTTTTCTGTTGTAACTTTGAACAGTCATTAAATGAATGGTTGCAGGTTGAGGACTACCTGTAATAATAGCATGATTTGGTGCTAGTACTTTAAGAGACCCCTTCTTCTCCCTTTAGAGGAATCATTTTCACAAATTAAGAGTTGTTTTGCTTTTAATTTTTCTGCTTGTGGAATCAAACTGTCATCTTCAATGTAGTCTGGGAGTTAGAAACATGGTGTTTCGCAGGCTTCTGCTTGTGCCAGTCACAACTCAGTGGCAAGGGGCATTGAGCATTGTTATTCAAAACACTAAAGTTGCCTTTTGTGTGTGTATGGGTTTGGGTTTTTTTTTTTTTTTGCTGAATATGCAAATGGTCATACCAAAAAGTACAGTATTTCTCCCAACAAAAGATTTGAAACCAACCCCAAATTATAATCAGTATCAGGTATAAAAACCTGTCACTGTTTAAAATTCAATACAGTATCACTAACTTCTTCCTGTTTGTTCTCAATCTCTATCAATGCCAGTAATTCAGTGAACAATGTCCAAATATTCTTTCTTTAGGAGGACCATTAGAAACTAAAAGCTTGATGAAGGATTCTTATACTCCTGATGTAATAAAGAGGGCAGTTCGGGATCCCAAACGTTGGCATGGAAGGAAGACTGATGATCTAGGTAAGGAAATCTAGGAACTATAAAGGAAAACTAGAAAGTGACATGCTTAGCTTCTCTTCCTGTCAATGTTATGAGTAGATTATATATACATCTTCAGTATTATTATAATCTAAATATTTAGATTTCATCCATTTCTCCATTTACAAACCTCAAACTATGTGCTCAGGAACAGATTTAAAATAGTTTACATGATTTT